AGACAGACAGACAGACAGACAGATGGATATAGGTAGATATAGATAGATAATGTAGATGTCTTTATTTTTTTTTACAGTGCTGAGACTTTAACCCAAGGCCTCACCCATGCTAGGCAAGTAGTCTACCACTAAGCTAGGATCCCAGCCCCCAGTTATACAGTATTTATACTTGTTTTGTTTCTATTAATTCATCAAGATGAGGAGTTATATTTTATTTACCTTTCTTTTGTCCTAATTGATGGAGATAAGTGGTGGTAATGAGGAAGGACTGAAAGAAGGAAGGGTTTTTAGATATGTCTTCTACCTGGTGATAAACCATGTTGGATTTCCACAGCTATGTTAGCATTTCACACATCTTGAGAAGTTTAAGCAATATTTTCTGAATAGCATTAACATAAGACTCAGCACTCCTGAAGTATAGTGAGCATATACCTTATCTATTCTATAAATAAGAACAGTATTAATGTATAATCTAATGTATAACATATGTAACTTGAATAAATGTATCTGTGTAACCCACAAAAATATCAGTATTTGTATAATGACTAATATAATTATTATTTTAGCTGGACACAGTTTTTCATGAATATAATCCTGTCTATTGGAGAGGCTGAAATCAGGTGGTTATAGTTCCAGGCCAACCCAAGCAAAAATTTCACAAGAGCTCATCTTAACCAATAATGAGGTGGGTGCTGTGGAACACACCTGTCATCCCAGATATTCCAGAAGTATAGAGAGTCACAACCCAGGCTGTCCCAGGAAAAAAGCAAGACCCTATTCAGAAACTAACAAAGGCAAAAAAAAAGTGGAACTGGTAGAGTGTCTGTCTAGCAAGTACAAGAACTGAGTTCAAACTCTAAAATAAAATAACATTAATATTTATAAATAAATACAGAATGCCATCCTTTCTATGATTTTTTTTGGGGGGGTCAGTTGTGGGGCTTGAACTCTGGGCCTAGGCATCCCTCAGCTCTTCAGCTCAAAGCTGGCACTCTACCACTTGAGCCACAGCGCCACTTCCAACCTTTTCTGTTTCTGTGGTGCTGAGGAATCCAGCCCAGGGCCTCATGCATACAAGGCAAGCACTCTACCACTGACCCACCTTCCCAGCCCTATACAATTATTTTTAAAGCTCCATTATGCTATTATTATTCCTTTATGTAATAATTCTCAAGTGTCTGCTTAGCCTTTCATCAGTGTATCAACTAGATTCTAGCAATGTAAGGACTAGTTCAACACTCTGAATCACCCATATTGTATCTTTATCTAATTTGTTATCTGGCTGTTGCTTTCCCAACTTTGTTCTAGAGTCATCTGGGGTCTTTCCGTATCATATAGATTACAGACATGCTAAATGGCATTTATACACATAAATATATACTTACGCTAGTGAAATTTTTTCATGGTCAATCAGATTATGAATTAATGATAGTCATTGTTTTTCAGAATAGAATTTCTGAAGTTACTAATGAAGTAGGATTTCAGGCCACAAAATACATGTATTTTTCCATAAGTTGTTTGGTATATATGAGCACATATATACGTATAAATATAGCCAGGTGTGGCTATCCCAGCACACAAGAAGCTGAGGCAGGAGGATCAAGATTCAAGATCATCCTGGGCTACATATTGAGACCCTGTCTCAATGAGAAAAAAAATAAAATTAAAAAAAAAATATATATATATAGTGCTATCCTTTTGAATGAAGATGTATGTATATGTATATACAAATACCTATATATATCCATCTGTTTATCAATGTATCTGTCTGTCTATACAGCAGAAGGAAAAAAACAGAACATACAAAGACAAGAAGGAGTAGATCCTATATAGTGAACCTTTTGGGGTCTTCTTCAGAGAAACAGATTTCAATCTTTTTATAGTCATTCAAATTAATACAACAGAGTGAGAATTAGAGAAGACCGAATCATCTCAACTCATTCTTTTTAAAGAACTGTCATTTCAATTCATTTCAATCATTTCAACAAGGAAAGGGACAGAACACTGTCTTCTTAGGATGCTAATCCTTTATAGTTAATACAGTCAACTATTAGACACAGGCTACTTTATTGGTTTGCCATTTGCAGAGACAAGATATACAGCTTCCTTTCTTCAGACCTACATGGGATTCAGAAAATGGCCTAGTGAACAAGGAGTTGGCACCAGAGACATTATAAGATAAAGCTGCAATGGCATTAGGCTATGAGAATATGAGCATCTAGACCTAGCTCCACTAGAGAATCTTCTCCCCTAGGAGCTGCATTTGCCACTAGGACTAGGAATGCTGGTAAAAAGGATTCAGAGCTGTGAAAAAGAGAAAATCAGAGTTCTTCAGTAGCCTAGAGAATAACTAAGATTTTGTAATTTTCTTTTGTGAACTACAGCTTTTTTTTCCCCAAGCATAAAATATTTCTCACCAGGCACTGGTGGCTCACAACTGTAATGTTAGCTACTCAGGAGGGTTAAATTGGAGGCTGGCGGATCAAAGCCAGCCTGGGCAGGAAAATCCGTTAAGACTTTTATCTCCAATTAACCACCAGAAAACCGGAAGTGGTACTGTAGCTCAAGTGGTAGAGTGCTTGCCTTGAGCTGAAGAGCTTAGGGACAGTGCCCAGGCCCAGAGTTCAAGCCCCACAACTGACACACACACACACACACACAAAATTCATAGAACCCTAAAAAAATTCCTAGACCTTTGGCATGGGGTACATAGTATTCAGTATCTAAAATGGTTCTATCTATTCTATTATCCACCAAAGATTTGGAATAAACAAGCAAACAAATTCTATCACCAGCCATAATCCACGTTACTCAGAAGGTAAAGATCAGGAGGATCTCAGTTCAAGGCTAGCTTGGGAAAAAAGTTCATGAGATACATCCTTCCATCTCAACCAATAGAAAACTGAAAACAGTGGTTCTCATTTGTCATCCCAGCTATATGGGAAACACTAATAGAAGAATTGTGGTCTAGGCCAGCTCAGGAAAAAAGATAGAGCCTATTAGAAAAATAATAAAAGCAAAAATAATTAAATTTAGAAAATTTTGTTGAAACCCCTTTGCACAACTGCTTATTTAAAGGAAAAAGGCTAGAGCTATTGTTCAAGCGGGACATCACTGCCTAGCAAGTACAAGGCCCTAGTTTAAACCCCAGTATTTCTAAAAAATAAAATAAACTATAGCCCAGTATGGTGGGCTTGTAGCCATAACTACTAAGAAAACAGGGACTAAGGTTTGAGGCCAGCTAAACCAAAAAAAACAAGTTGGACTTAGACGTAGTTCAGTGGCAAAATGCTTGCCTAGCAAGTGCAATGTCCTAGGTTCAATCCCCAGTACCAAAAAAGAAAAGACAAAAAAAAAATTTTTTTTTTTACAAAATCTAAAAAAAAAAAAAAATAGCTGGGCTCAGTAGTGTACACTTGTCATCCTAGCAAAATGGGAAGCACAAATAGAAAGATCAAGGTCTAGCCCTCCCATACCACCACACACATAAATACAAGACCCTATTAGAAAAGTAATAAAAGCAAAAGGCTGAGGGTGTGGCTTACATGGTAGAGAGCCTGTCTAACAAGCACAAGGCCTTTTTTTTTTTGAGGGGGGGGTCCGGTTGTGGGGCCTGAACTCTGGGCCTGGGCGCTGTCCCTCAGCTCTTCAGCTCAAGGCTAGCGCTCTACCACTTGAGCCACAACGCCACTTCTGGCTTTTTTCTTTTTTTGCTTATGTGGTGCTGAGGAATCGA